TTTTATTTTAATCAGCCTCACTTCCGAAAGGTATTCTCATCCAGACTGGACTGCCATATCGAACTGGTCTTAGTGTCATCCGCGCTTCCAACGGAAATCGAACCCAGATAGTGGAGTAGTACCGTTTCGATAAAATATTCTGCCTCACTCAGATTCGATGAAACTCAGGCGGTGTAGAAACTGCACTCCATTTTGGATAGGAATACCTTTTGGGAGGCAACGTTAAGTGAAACTCAATGACACCATGAGGCATACCCACGATTACGTCAGTATTGACAATAATAAAATGAAATAAAACAAAAGTTGAACCAGATGTTACACGAATTCTAAAGGATAATAAAGGATATCGAGGTAATATAAAATATAAACCAACCTGTGAATAGTAGTTCCATCCGGCCAACTTCCATGGTTAAGTAGGAGATATCGGGGTCTCCATTATGCCCTACCTCTGCCGAAAGGAGCAAGTTGCTGCCTTTAATCAGCGTATGCTCACCAAAATTTCGGCCTACCATGTGGGCAGAAGGGAGACTTGGACAAGGGACCGCTGCTGTTGAGATTCCAGAATCCGAGGTTGGTACACTGCCAATAACAAGTGAAGAAGGCTTATTGTAACAAAATCCGGGTGACCAGGCAGGCGAAGAGACTGTCGTGCCCATTGGGGTCGTATTCAAATGCACTTCGAACCGAGCGATTGTAGAAGTCAAGTGAAAGAGGGACTGAAAACGAACAGACGTCATGAGATCCATGTCAGAGTCTGGAAGAGAAGTAGAAGAATAAGTTTAGGTGGGAAATATGGAAATAAATTTTATAAAAAATATAAATTTTGCCAAGTGCTTATCGAGGGTGGCGGCTATAGGAGAATAATTATTAATAATATCTACACGAAAATGGCCAGGTAACTACGGCGCCAGTAGTTAATTGTAATTCCTTCGTTTTTATGTTCAGTTATGGAAGTAGACGACAACTATCATCATTATGGGCATAAATAACATTGGGATCGACTTTAAAATGGACTCAGCTCGCGTAAGAGGAAAGTATAATTATATGCATTATAAGGTAGAGTAAATTTCACCCGCTCAGCATAAGCAGACAATCATTTAAGAAGGTGTATAGGTTAATCGTATAGAGTTTAGAAACCAGAAGAAGAGGATAAGGGATGGATTGTGGGGCGTGCAAAAAGCCTACTGTTCATAAGAGTTATGACATAACCAGGATAAAGCTCTGCTAAGAGTCAAATGCCTACTCGTGCCTTTCCATATTATTGAAATATTCACATTTTGCCCAAACAACGGCTATACAGAGGGAGTAAAGGGATTGAAGGCTTATCAGCTACATGACTTAAGAACATCAGGGAGTAAACATCGGTAGGAAGAGAAAAGCTTTATTAGCTCAAGAAAGAAGCCCCGGAGACGCTAGTAGATTCACGACAGATTGCCTTTGTCAAATGTGAGTGTGCTTTTAATTTCGAAGTAAAAGTTGGTTGGAAGGAAATCATGAATTTTTATAATCGGAACCCACAGGAAAATTGCTTTATAGTAGAAATAGTAAGATGGTACGAAAAAGTCCTCGGCTCCCGTCTTACTACTCCAATGAGTTCATGCTGGGCGTTCGCCTATCATGTGATAGACACTGACACAACAAGAAACCAACAATTATGAAAAAACACACCAAACCCCATAAACTCAGAAAAGGTTGGTTGGCTGCACTGACACTCACTTCTTAAGCCTAACTTTGACATACAAATTAGATATTCCATGATTTAGTTTGTTATTACATG